ATAAACTGGAGACATGTTACACGAGATCACTGCTAATAAAGCCCCTATACAAATCCGTGATTTTGCATTTGTGCTTCCTGCAGTCCCCTTAAAAATGACTCGTACCATATTTGATATTTCTTTCAGCAAGTTCCATTATAAAAGATTCAAAGAAAAAAAAAGCATAAAAGGTTGGGCACCAGTGGTCTAAATAATGCCGCCTCTGTGCCTTCTGTTTTGACAAGGTGCACAAAGGAATACATGGGGATGATTTATAAATCATCCTCCCAGCCATATGTTCTCAGAATGCCATTCGCATGGCATTCTTGCCACTGAAGGGAAGAATGTCCTATGCTCCTTGGCTCCATCTAGTGGCAAAAATGCTGCGTGAATGTCATTTGGCCAGCTTGTGGCAGGGCAGATGATTTTTTTAAATTATCCCCAAAGTGTCAACATTTGACTTAAAAAAAAAACATGCCCAGCTGGCTAATCAATAAAATGTGCATGCACCAAAAAACAGTATGCCAAAAAATCATACACAATGCTGTAGCACAAAAAAGGCAACATATTTAGTGGTATTTATTATTAGAACCTGTGTGGAGGCAGCAGGGTATGTATGGCCATGGACACAGTCAGCATATGTGTGCATACAGTAATATCCCCACATACAGTGTGAAGTATAGGGGTCTATTCACAAAGCTGCCGAAGGATCTGGCCGTAGCTTCGGCCGATCCTTCGGCTAGCTTCGGCACCAGGACCCCTTCGGTACTTTTTACAGTTGTCTTTAATGATAGGAGACGGAGTATGCAATTTATGAGGTTTTGCGAACAGTGGTCAGATAGATTCAAAACATCAGGGAAACCCAAGTTTTCATTTTAAGACATTTCACCAATTAGCATATTTTTGGACACTGGGTTGTGTACACTGCATAGCAAACTACCCTTATTAAAGAATTTGCTGTATGTACGTTTGAGCCTGTGAGCTTGAAGAGGTGCAAAGTACATACTGTGAGGGTGTCATCTGCTTATCTGTGCACAATCAATGTGCCAGGGTATGTGCATATTTTAAAATCTGAACCTGATCCTCTCAGGAAGAAAAACATCATATACTATCATTTCAACCTAAAGTACCAAGAATGGTTACCAGAATCTTCTGAAATATATGCCTACTTTTTCATACCTGCTGATATCTTCTGTTTACCACATTTACTGCAAGAAGCCACCTAGAATGTGTTGCAGTCTGCACAGGGTTAACATTATAGTCAAGACGCTAGATGCACTAGGCCAAATGTACTAAAGCAAATGAACAAAAACAGCGATAAGCTGCCATGGTATACTTGCATCAGAGGCCCACATAAGTGCGTTGCTGTACAAATGTATATATCAATCACAACCCTTTACCTATATGGTTGATAGCACACTGACGTTCAATGTGTATGGTGCAGTTCTAGGCCATAGCACACGGGATTCATTTTCTGTAAGAGCAACGTTTACGGCAAGCTTTTACAAGACATTTGCAAAGCTTTCAACCAGCTTCAAGTAGCTGTGTGTTGGTGGTCAGTTGTTTTAGCTTCCCCTTAAGTTGGCGGTTACTCAGAGCTGAAGAGTTATTTGTGTCAGTTATTTACTCACCTTAAAGGAGAACTATGGGGTCAGTGTTTTTCCCCATAGTTCTCCTTAAGGTAACGGGAGGACACAAACTAGCGTCCTCCCGTTACCCTAAGCTCAGTATACCGCGAGCTACAGCTCGCGGTATACTGAGACGCAAGTTCTGGCACTCACTTCATTTGTCAGAGCAGGGACACAGAACGGAGAGCCAGCAGCACAGGACCAGGAGATTCCTAAACTGGTAAACCCAGGAGTTTAACCTTAAAAATGCATTCAGTTCCCTTAACTATTACCAAAAGGTAGCTTATGTGTGCATCACTTAGCTGTAGATCCTCAAATCATTGTCCTTCCTCCTGGAGGGTGGCTACTTTTGTTCTCCATGCTCCCTGTGCGTGTTGTAAAGTAGCCACGGCTCAAAGCTCACTGCCATGATAGACTACAATCTTAATACAAATTAGTAAACAAAACATGAGATTGTAGTCCATCACGAGCTTGGAGCGGTGACTACTTTGCAACACACACAGGGACCACGGGGTAAAAAGTAACCACCCTCCAGAAGGAAGGACAGTGTCAGCACCAATTCACAGATGATTTGAGTATCTACAGCCGTGTGATACATAAATAAGGTCCAGTATTGTTTATAATTGAATGCATTGAATGTCACTTTAAGAAGCACCTGGTCCTGCGCTGCTGTCTCTCCGTACTGTGTCCCTGCTCTGACAAATGAAGTGAGTGCTAGGACTATACAGGCACTGTAGGGAAGCACCCAACAGTGCCTGACTGAGATGCAGTCCATCAGTGGCAGCACCTGAAAGTTTGGAGGGAGACCTCAGTGTTACGTGCAGTGCGCCATTGCAAACACACAGCTTGCTTGTGATGTGACAAGTTTTTTGAAAGCTGTGCCTTATACAAGAAAGTAAGGCTCACATGCAAAATGTTTATCATTCTTTTTTTTTTGGCATGAAATAAACTATAATTTTTCTTTTACTTAAAAAGACCAAAGGGTACAACTAAGATAATGTTTGGCTTGTTGGTGGGACTTGTGTGGCTGGCCCTTGACTTAAATTTAAACCAACTTCAAAGGTGGCAAGGGCTGAGTTGTTATCACTGGATCCTGTAGGCATAGAACCTTTGGCACCCAAAAGAAACCCCTATCTGATAGGATGACCTCTTTTACACAAATCATTTAAAGAGGAGCTCTAGGCAGAATAAAAATTAACCCTTGCAGTGGGGCTACCCCCACACAGCAAGGTATACCTGCTCCTTTTTAGTCTAGGCTCTAAAATAAAAAGATATAGTCACTTGATCCTCGGTCCCGCCTGGCTGCTAGACCAGTCCCCACAGCCTCCTCTGCCCCGGCAGTCTAATGTCCTGTGAGTCATCACGTCTAATACAGTGTATTAGATGTGAGGATGCTGAGGGACATTCTACTGCTGAAGAGGTGGGGGACAGAGGTGAGCAGTCTATGCTGCAGGATCTAAGCTCTTCTTCTTCTTCGAGGCTATGTTTTTTTTACCCGTATTTACATAGGATCGAACGGCAGTGAGTGAATAGCAAAATGCCGCTGAGCGGCATTCGGCTCGGCTATTCTGCTCGGTACTTCCGTGGTACCGAGCAGAATAACAAATCAATGAAAGTAAAACAAAAGTTCAAGAAAAGATTTTAAAGAGAGTCAGCTAGCTTCGCCCAACTGTAGAGTCTTCTAGCAGGTCACGGCCAATGAACAACAACAGTTGTTGGGGACGCTGAGCTGTCATTACAACTGGGCGGAGCCAGCCGTGAGATCACAGCTGGCTCTGCCCAGCTGTCATTTGCAAGGCGTTCAGCCGGCCTTCGCCCGCTTCGGCTGAGCCGCTTGGCCACCTTCGGGAGCTGTATCGGCTATAGTGAATATACTAAATACACTATAGCCTGTACAGCAGCCATTCGGTTCAACTGAACCGAAGGGCTCCCGCAACCGAAGCTAGCCGAAGGATCAGCCGAAGCTACGTCTGATCCTTCGGCTAGCTTTGTGAATAACCCACTAGGTCTTGTCTCTGCCCTGTGACATTTAATGATCACATATCTGTATACAATTATGTTTTTTTTTCTGTCTGGACTTCAGCTTTAAAAAAATCATGTTTGTCATGTTAGGCTTATTGGAAATAGGCAATTTGATTACACCAAGAACTGCCTGTGTGGCCCAAAGCAAGCAATCTCCATATCACTCTGCAATTCTGTTGCATTGATTTGTTGCCATGAATGATATAGACACTTAAGTGACTGACACTTGTATTTCTGTAGTTAGCATTGACAGTTGGGAAGACTTTTGTGAACAAGTAAACCTCCAGATGATTTCAGAGAAATGTAAGAAAAAAGAAAGTAGTACCTGCGCAGTACCAGAGAGGGACCCTTGTCATTTTGCAGTCATCAGTAATGAATACCTCCGGTACGTTAAACATAAATGTAAACTTTATTGTTTGTTACAATAGTGAATTGCAAGATCTTCTCATTTCATTCTAATAATTCAGACAAAATGCATCATAACATTACATGTCTTTTTCTCCCAAAACTGAGACGCTAAGTTGCCTCTGCCATTTCTAGATCAGGAAACTAATTTAAAAAAGAAGCAGCATGGATGGCAGCACCATTTAAAGCTAAAAAAAATCCCTTGTGTTGTACTTCTTCCATAAATGAAAGAAACCATTTTTATTTTTAAGTAGCTAGGAAATGTGCTCCTATATACCACAGGGTTGTACAATGATGACTGCAAGTTCCTACAGGGTTGCATTTACAGTAAGTCCTAACTGTACTCTGACACATGACAGCAGCCTCTAACCCTTCTTCTCTAATCTGCTAATATATTAATCTAGCTAACTAATACAATTAAGAAGACTACATTAAAACATTTAACATCAAGTTACAATAAGTGCTTCCTTGAAATACTAGGAAATTGTACATGTATTTGGCTTCTCCAGACTTGGTTATAACAGACAACACTCTATGAGTTTCTGAAGAATATGGCTTGAAACAACATGAGTTTGATTTCAGACCCAGGTACAGCAAGTACCCTTGGCATTTTTATTTTACCTGTCTTCAATGCACACAAGACATAGAAAAATACAAGAGAGTGAAGGTAAGATAAGTCCCTTGGAATACGGGAGATTGTTATAGGAATTGTTATTCTCCTCTCAAATTCAATGAAAAAGGAATAGCAAAGATCTGGTGTGTTGTATTTTCTGTGTGGACAGGAAGAGGGCACTTTAATCAACTCTGTACCGCTTCATAAGCAAATACATAAGCACAGTGTTAACGAACTCAAGCACACAGCCCTGCAGTAGTAGTCAGAAAAAATAGAAAACAAGAACTATTCGGCTTTATATAAACCTGGCTTTTGACGCGGGCTTGGAGTGAAACATTCAGATAACCTTTTCAAGCTTCTCCTCCTTCCATTGTTTCTAGCAGGTAGTTCCACAGCAGGTGATGAGGCTTTCATATGTGGTTTGTCCAAATGCACAAGTCCACTGTGAGACACACCAGATATAAGATATGTTAAACTATTACAGTCTGGAATTAATACTGTAGTAACCAGCTTGGGCAGATGGTTTGATTTGCATATTGAAAGGAACCACATGCCTTACATAGCATCCTTTACACTTTTTCTAACTCTGAAGGCAAAACATTATAACCCTTAGTCAGAAGAATGATTTTATATTCCTGTGTACATGTCGTCTCATTCTTGAAATAGACACCTCCTGTAAGGTCGGTTACACATTATGGGCAGTAGTAAAAACACCAGAGTTTGTACTGAAAAACATAGCAATAGCCTTTCTCCCGAAGGACTTTCTAAGTCAGGCAGATGCTACAGACCAGTTTTTCTCAGTGTCCATTTCCTCTACATACTCGGAGTGCTTAGTGCACTGATCAGCTTCACGTTTTAAGACAATAATTAAATAAACTATTACAAATTCACTGTATTTGTCTCTAGGATCTAAGTGCTTGAGATATGTTTTTCTTTGTGCCTTTAAAATATTTGCTTGTTCCCAATCCTGTTTTGTTTGTATTCATCTTCACTTAACATTTGATGACCCTGAGCTATGACTTGGCATTGGATTTCACCATTAGTCAGCCTTGGCAGCTTTCCTTGTTTTGGTGATATAGGCTTCGAAGAAGAAGCGGCAGAAAAGCACAAAGTAGCTGAGGTACATGACGGAGGACCAGACAATATTATGTACGTGGGATGGACACTGTCCTTGTTGCATCCAAGAGAAGACCAGGTAATTCACCACACACCCGATAAGCATCTGAGTGATCTGGGATAATGTGATCATCATGGCAAACTTTCGCGACACTCTAAAGCCAGCGGCTCGCAAGGCATAGTAAGAATACATAACCGCGTGTACTCCATAGTTCATGGTCATAAACCAGCCACCGCCGGCCACCATGTCCTTGTAAGAATACCAGGAATAGAGCAATACTGTTATGTGGTGGTACCAGTGAAGGAAGATGAGCTTCTGTTTCCTAAGGATGATAAACATGGTGTCCCCTGCAAGAGAAGCACAGAAATAACACATGAAAACGTTATATTCAGCACATATACATCATACCTGACAATGGGGGTACTCGAGATGCTGCATGCTATTCTTAATGTGTGAGATGGTCTGGTCAATGAAGAGACCAGTGGCTTATGTAATCTACTTAAGCTGGCCATACACCTATAGAATTTTCATTGGGAATTTTCATTGCTGCCAAGATCCCTCTTTCGATTCTAGCTCAAATAGCCCATCATGCACCAATGTCTATTTCGATAATTGTTCGTTAGCAATACTAACTCACCAAATTTTGTCAATCGAGAGAACGTTTTTTTGTTTGCGCATGTGCAGTGTTCTTGCTGCGATTTTATTCGCAAGAAAACGCCACCAATTCATTGATTTTCGTATGATTCAAGAAAAGTTTTCCGATCGAGGAAATTCGGCCAGAAGTACAGTAATTAAAATCGTTGGTGTCCCATCAACTGATCGATTGTCGTTCGAAAGACCATTCGTGGACGATTTCCAAACGAAAATCGATAGGTGTATGGGCACCTTTAGGCAACTATACATATAACGGGAGCAGAGGTATTTGTTTTAAAACTCTCTGACATGCATACCTTAAACATCTTTAAGTAAAATTCCTGACAAACTAGTAAATATATTGTTAAAAAAATACATATACTTGAACTGGTTTACCTTCCAAAAGGTTTCTAATTTGGAGTCTATTCACAAAGCTGCCGAAGGATCCAGCCGTAGCTTCGGTTGCGGGAGCCCTTCGGTTCAGTCGAACTCAAGGGCTGCTGTACGGGCTTTTCACTATATTCACTTTAGCCCGTACAGCTCCCGAAGGCGGCTGAGTGGCTCAACCGAGCCGCATGCATATGCTTCCGCTCGACCAGGGCCGGCCTTAGGCCTTTAGGCGCCCTGTGCGAGAAAGCTTCACAGCGCCCCTCAGTGGCCACACCCCTCAGTGGTCACACCCCCAGTAACCACACCCATTTATCACCCATATTTTTGGTAAAATATAAAAAGACGGGGTCACGTCAGGTAAATAGACACCAAACATGTCAAGCTTTAAAATCGGCAAAATCGCATAAAATGACCATGCAGCTCGACTGAGCCAAAGTGACAGCCGAAGCGGGGCGAACGCCTCTCAAATGACAGTTAGGTGGAGCCAGACGTGATCTCATGGCTGGCTCCTTCCAGTTGTAATGACAGATCAGTTTCCCCAAATGACCTGGGGACGTTGATCTGTCATTAAACAATGACAACTGGGTGGAGCCAGCTGTGGGGTCACGGCCGGCTCCACCCAGTTGTAATTCATTGGCCGGGACCTGCTAGAAGACTCTAGCAGGTGCCGTCCAATAGGAAATAGTTGGGCGGAGCTAGCTGTCTGCTAGCTCCGCCCAATAGTTTTTTGTTTTTGTAAATTTTTATTATTTTAAATGTTATATTTATTTACATTTTTTAAAATATTTTTTTTACTATTTTCATTGACTTGCTATTCTGCTCGGTACCATGGAGGTACCGAGCAGAATAGCCGAGCCGAATACCCCTCGGCCGGCATTCAGCTATTCACTCACTGCCGTTCGGCCCCTTTGTGAATAGGGGCGAACGGCAGTGGGAGAGCTGCCGGAGCTTCGGCTCAGCCGATCCATGTTCATGTCTATGTTCGGCTGACCGAAGTGCAGCTGAAGGCAGCCGATGTACTGAGCTGTAGTGAATAGCCAAACGTTGTTCGTCTCACTTCACTACGGCTCAGTTATTTACTCGGCTGCCTTTGGCAGCTTTGTGAATAACCCTATTTGTTTATCCAGTCTGGAGATTACTGCATCTTTGCCACACAGCACTGAAACAATGAAGTCTCAGTTATTTACTGATGCAGCCTTACGGCTTCCCATGTCACCTGACTGCTCATTGGACAGAGCTAGGATGCTGATTCATCGACCAGTGAGTAGGCAGGTGACACAGGAAGCTGCAAAGCTGAACTTGAAAATAGTTTAGCCACCTGCCTAGCTGTGTATATAAGACTGGTTGAGCAGCATACAAAATGCTTTATCAGCAAAAACAGTTCATTTCATCTATGCATTGCTGTGTTTTCTCTATTTGTCAGCTTTGAAAGAATTATCTAGGTGCACAAACACCAATTAGCCATAACTAGGGCTGCAACAACTAATCGACTAAGTTGAATATAATCGATGATGGTAAAACGTTGTCAACGTTTTCCATCATCAATTAGTTGATTTTCGATTAGTTGCCCCGCTCGCGGTTCCACACACGCCGCGCGCCGCTTCTCCTCCCCACCTCACCCAACTCTGAGCTCTCACTGACTCGCCACTGCCCGCCATCACCATCCACGATCGGCACCCATGATCGTAATAGGGAGACTGAACTTGAAGCCAGGAGGAGCAGGGGGGACGGCAGCCGCCGACAGACCGGCCCACAATCTCAGGGAAGAAAGTTGCTTGGAGAGTGTTTAGGTAAGACTGCCTGTACTTTCCCCCCACATGGTTCTGTATTAATTTATTGCTGGGACTTGTATTCCTCTATAGGTGATGGTACATTGCGGTATATATTATACAGAGCAATGTACCATCAGCTATAGAGGAATACAAATCCCAGCAACACATTATACACTGTATGTATAATGTATTGCTGGGATTTGTTTTATTCCTCTATAGCTGGTGGTATTCTGCATTGCGCTGTGTAATATATTATTGCTGGGATTTGTTGCACTCCTCTATAGCTGGTGGTATTCTGCATTGCGCTGTAAACTCATTACACAGCGCAATGCAGAATACCACCAGCTTTAGAGGAATACAAAAAATCCCAGCAATAATACATTATACTATAATCCCCATGATCCCTATGTGTGTTGTAAAGTACTCAACGCTCCATGCTTGCTCCCGTGATGGACTACAATCTCAATACAAACTAGTAGTCCATCACTGGAGCATTTAAAAAAAAAATGTTTTGATTATTTTTATCTGATTAATTGATTAATCGAACTTAATAAATCGGCTAACTAATCGATTTTGAAAATAATCGTTAGCTGCAGCCCTAGCCATAACATTATGACCACTGACAGGTGAAGTGAATAACATTGATTATCTTCCTACAATGGCACCTGGAAGTGGGTGGGATATATTAGGCAACACGTGAACATTGTATCCCTGAACCTGTGCTGAAAGCAGAAAAAAGCAACTCCAAAATGGCAGCTCTTGTAGGATGTTCCCAGTGTGCAGTGTTTAGGACCTACCAAAAGTGTTCCAAAACCGGTGAACTGGCGACAGTGTCATGGGCAGCCAAGGCTCATTGGTATAAAGTTGGAAAATGAAATGAAGACTGATTAGTTAGCGCACTCCTAGGGGTGTGTGTGTGTGTGTGTGTGTCGTGGCCGTTGTGTGGCTCCTTGTGTTATTAGACCGGGGTGTCTAACTGTGTGATAACTGGCGCAAACTTTGTGGAGGGGGATTGACCAGGGAATCGAGGTGAAAGTGGGTGGGGATGTAGAATGGGCACTCACGTGTGATGAGATTGATGGGGACACAGGTGATGATCTTCTGATGATGTTGTGAGGTCTGGTTGGGGTGACGGTATTCCCTGATGGCAGTGGCTTCTTTCAGCAGAATAATGTGCCCTGTCACACTGCAAAAATGGTTCAAGAATGGTTTGAGGAACACAACAATGGGTTTGAAGTGTTCACATGGCGTCCAGATTCTCCAGATCTCAATCCAATTGAGCCTCTGTGGGATATGCTGGAAAACAAGTCCCCATCTCGCAACTTAGAGGACTTAAAGGATCTGCTACTGAGAGCTTGGTGTCAGATACCACAGCATACCTTCAGAGGTCTAGTGGAGTCCATTCTTTGACAAGTCAGGGCTGTTTTGGTGGCAAAAGTGGGACCTATTCAATATTAGGCATGTTGTCATAATGTTAGGCTGATCGGTGTATGTAGGTAAGCTGTTCCCTGTCTCTTCTCCCTTTTTTTATTGTTTGTATGCTGTTGTAGCAATTAACGCAATATAGGACAAACATACTGAAAATGTGATATAAAGCAGCATTACTAAAGCATTTGACATTTACAAAATTTTAATAACGGGCAGCTGTCTTCACCAGGGCTGACAGATGCTCTAAGATGATCATATTCGCAGTGCAGTGAATGTGACACACTCAGCTGGACAGGACCAGGTTAACTTGCTATCAATCTTTATGAGGGTGCAATTGTTTGGTTTCTTACAATATGTAAGAATTTTATCTTCAGTAGTTATGTTTCAATTACCATTTTTCAAACAAACAAGCAACAAACAAAACCCACACAAATCATATATATCAGTTTTTAATATAACTGATTTTTCATGAGGAAGGATTGCTGCTACAGTGAGGTTGCAGCAAATATAAAGATCCATAAATCCCTTGTTTCAAAGTATAACAAATGTAATTATATCTATAAAGCAACAAAATAAAGACCATACCCAAGAACCTTCAAATGCATGCAGAAAATAATTTAGAACTAGAATGTAGTTCCCAGTGTTATTAATAATGTTTATACTTTAAGATAAATGAACTGGAAAATGAGTGCTTCAGACTACAAAAATGATATACGACACTGTACTGTATTGTTGCATTTAGCAGTGACATTGTACTACATAAACTGATCTGGGGTGGTTGCAAGTCAGTCCAGAGTTTAAGCTGAGATTAAGTCATTTACAGCTTATAAAAGAACAGACTAGGACTTGTCAGCATTATGACAGAAATAATGTCACCTCTAAATGTTCTTTACTGCAGATATGACATGTCAGGCCCTCACCATTATCTAGATACATTAAACTCCATATATGTCATGTATTTATTTCTAGGAATATATCCGGGTACATTTTAAACGTGTACATTCCTGTAGAAGTGAGCTTTTACTACAAATAAATCTCATTCATGATCAATGTATCAATATGTAAAGCAAAGGTTTGTAAATTTACAGGCTAGTTACTGGAAGATAAAAATGGATTGCTTTACA